AAAAAAAAAAGGCCAGCCCGCCCAGCCCGCGGGCCAAACGGGGCTGGCCAAATAGGCCCGCGATTGAACGGGCTGGCCAAGCAAAGGCCCAAGCCCGTCCGTTTAAAGAAGAACGTGTTCCACGCGCGAAGTAATAAAATTTCAAAATCATGTCGCCGTCGGCCGAAATTTTCATAGAATCAAAATTAATAAAAACAATATATTTTTAAATTATCGTACAGTGCAGGGTTAAATGAGTAAATTTAAGCTTTAAACAATAGTGTTCGCTTTTTCTACTCGTGTTGTTGTGTTGAAAGGATTAGGGCCGTGAGAGAGAGAGAGAGATGAAAATGGACGCTCTGTGTGTTGCTGCTCATACTCCCTATTCTTCTTCTTCATCTTCTTCGCTTGCCGCAAATGCCCGCTGCTTATCCTACGCACGAAGCCTTAATCTGCGCGCCTCCCAGCTCCCCGCATTCCGACCGCCGTCCTATGCCTCGACCTATTCCCGTTCTCGCCCCTTTGCCTCCCGCAAACCCCACAGGCCCCGCATCTTCCTTCCGCTCGTAGTTGCTTCAATGGTATATCGATTTATTCAATTCTCATTCAGAATTTTGTCAAGTTATGGTTCTGTTTCGTTTTCGTTTATCATGCTTTTGTTCGTCTTCCTTGTGCAGGAGCAAGTGGAAGAGACTTATATCATGATTAAGCCAGATGGAGTTCAGCGTGGTCTTGTAAGTTTTTTTTTTTTTATGTGGCCTTATTATTGATTGTGCTGGCTATGGTTTTTTTTATGAATTTTATGAAAATGGCGGTAGGTGGGGGAGATAATTTCCAGGTTTGAGAAGAAGGGTTTTAAGTTGACTGGATTGAAGCTGTTTCAATGCCCCAAAGAACTAGCCGAGGTCCGTTTTCTTGATTATTTCTATTTTTCTGCATACTTTATTCGTTTTTGGCGATATCTTGTTAATTATGTGGTTAGTTATGTTACTGTTGTTTCTCAGTGCCTTTTAGTGGTGATGGTTGCAGGAACATTATAAGGATCTGCAGTCGAGACCATTCTTCCCCAAATTGACCGACTACATTACTTCTGGCCCTGTTGTTTGTATGGTATGCTACTAGGAGCAGTTACCCACTGTGTCGTCTTTCTTTCGATTTTTATTTGTAATAGGCTATTATGTTTTCTTTTCTGAAGTTGTTTTGAACTGATGAGTGTTGTGGTTAATTTTGTCACTGCAAGGCCTGGGAGGGCGTGGGTATTGTAGCCTCAGCCCGCAAATTAATCGGAGCTACAAACCCTCTAGATGCAAATCCCGGCACAATTAGAGGAGATCTTGCTGTTCATACTGGAAGGTCAATCCCCTTATATTCTACGACTTTGCATTTCTCCGAAAAGCTTTGAATTGAATTTAGATGTGGACTTTTTTCTTCTGTTGCAATTTTAAGCGCTCAAAATAAGGATTCTCATGATTTTATGTGAACCCCTCTTTGCAGGAATGTGGTTCATGGAAGTGACAGTCCTGAAAATGGCAAACGGGAAATAGGTGAAGTTTCGTTTAACATTTTTAGAGTCTGTCTTCTGGGAACTCACTAATATGATCTTGTGCAATGCTCAAATTTCGTGAATTTGTACGACATACATGCTTGTACTGTACTTACCTACATTAAACTCACATTAGAAGAAATAACTAGATGAAACTGAACATTTAGTTTGAATAAATCTTGCTATTGCATGTCTTGAAACAAGAAAGTACAAGTGAACAAGAAAAGTAGATAAAAAATTGAAATCCCACTGTTTTTTCAATACCTGCTGCTTGTACATGAGGGCCCTTTCTGAGAGAGCAAGCGTCAAAATTAGAATTAACTTTTCCCACTCCCCCGGAACTTGAAAGTCCAGTATAGCGAATGGGATATTCGTATTTGTGTGCAACTGTGGAGTTTCTACTTAGTTTTTTAATGCGGTTCTGTGATGCAAAGTGAAGTGTTTGGGTTTGGAAGTTTTGTTTGATTATGTGTTAATTACTATTCTGCAGCTCTGTGGTTCAAAGAAGGAGAACTATGCGAATGGACGCCTGCACAAGAACCGTGGCTTAAGGAATAATTCTTTTGCAACAGCTCAGTTTGGAATTTCCTCTACCTTCGTCAAGCTTTTGATTCACACGTAATTAACTTCACAAGAGGTGTAAACTGAAAGAGACCATTTTTTTTTTTCCTTTATAATTCCCAACCCAAACAACAAGATGCAATGTCATTGATTATTAATTTTGTGAAATCTGTGGTTTTATTATCTGTATTTGTTATAGATCGCGGAGCTATCACCAAGTGTAAACGGGCCGAGCTGAGCTCAATTCTTTTAATAAAGGGCCGATGAAGAGGTTCAAGTTGGGCTCGATTACCAATATTAACAAGTTGAATTGGAGTCGAAATACAGAAAATTTCATAAAATCTCATTTTTGTCAAGCGTTGACAAGTTGAGCCAAACTTGCATTGTTAACTTAATCAGCTTTGAATGAGCTAGAGCTCAACCTATTTGGAAGTTGGAACTCACAAGTGATTCATTTTGTTTAACTCTATTTGTTTCCCTCTAATACAAAAAGTTGTCCTCTATACTCAATCTGTCCTCAAGACTCAACAGGATGAGACTGAAGATGGTTAACATGCTTATATTTTGCTGTCCTCAAGACTCAACAGGATGAGACTGAAGATGGTTAACATGCTTATATTTTGGGGCTGGAGAAAATTTCTCACGATGTATGATTTCTTTTCTTCTTTTTTTTTACCTCAATAAAAATTTCTAAGCTTAGAATACTAGTAATACATTTTATTCGTACACATAAGAGAATCTGCAGTTGGAAAATAAATTCTTCACAAGTAAAAAAAAAA